CCTCTTTCCCATTCCCATTGTCTAAATTTAATGAGCAGAACAAAAGGGAAGCAGAAAAAGATGTAAGCAAGGAAGAGAACCAGAAAGGTCCCATTAGCCACCTCGTCGGACAAAATTAAAAGCAAAGTTAAAGATGAAGAGAATCAGTAAGAACGAAGTCAGTGATGAGAGAAAAGGAGAATAATTCATGAAAAAGGAGGAAAATATGATTTTTAAATGGAGAAAACAGAAAGGACACTGGAGATTTAAGGGACTATTCGGAAAAAGACGCTGAGAGCAACCGACCGAAGTGGCCGGAGAGACCGGAATTCGGAAATATCTACAAACAACAGATATCAGCGAAAGAAAATCAGTGTTCTACTCTTGTAACTGTAGCTGGAGTTCTCAATTCATCTTGTTCATCTTAACCTTTGTAACTATAACTGCTAAATTTTTTGTTTTTTTTTTTCAGCTCAATTCTTCAGGTCATCCTCTCTGTAAGTTTACTATGCTTTTATAATCTGCTTGAACAATTGACTATGGCCACCTGCGTGGAGAATCATAATTTAGTTGTAGAAATTAATGTTTTGAAGAATATATATTTATATGATATGATTAGTTTTTCTATGTCATGATTTTTTGGTACATATGTAGGTTGAACTATGATCACCTCAAACGTGAGATACTTCCTGAAGTTCTTTCGGGAAAAAATTATGATGTGTGGATCATTTGCATGAAAAACTATTTATTAGCACAAAATCTCTGGGATGTTATTGAATCTAGCCTTGTGCCACCTTCTAGCGATGAAGAGGCTGTTGCTAATTGGAGGAGAAAGAATGCTGAAGCTCTACACGCCCTTCTAGTGTCATGTGCTCCTAAAGGCTTTTGCTCGGATAAGGAAAAATCAGTCAAAGATGCTTGGAATACATTGGCTAAACTATATAAAAGAAAGTGTCAATTGTTATGTTGCTGTTGCAATTGATTTTATCTTTCCTACTGTGAAATCCATTGGGTGTAGTTAAGTGTTATTTTTTATATCTTTTATATATATATTCATATGGTTTATTGCAACTATTAAATGTATTTATTTGCTCAATTCTCATTACATATTTAGGACAAAAAATTTATTGTGTAAAATATATAGTTAATTATTAGATCGTTTCACGTACAGGAAATTATCTCTTATACCAAAAATGATGGATTGTTTGATTTCTACTTGTATATGTGTGTTTGGATAAAAATTCAATCAAAATTATAACAAAGGAATAAAGAAATTTAGTCTTAATTTAATTGTTGGATGATACATGGAGGAAGTTCTGCTAACAAGCCAGTGTTTTCAAAATTTGCCACGGTATATTAGGTGCTCAGACCACAATTAATAAACTTTGTGATCATACCACGTGCTTAGGGTAAAGATCCAATGACTACGATTTTCTCCATGCAATTGGAATAGAAAGGGTAATTAAAGACTATATTCTGGTGCATTTGAGCTCATGGTAAGGGAAGAAGACAAATTCTGGTGCATTAGATTTCTGCCACGTGACAGAAATGGGGTCCAAATAGATTTTGGGCCCCGTTAAGGTAGAGTTCAAATGGATTTTCCACTTTGATTACTAAAGACATGGGTTTGGTCTGGGCTTCCAAAGGTTGTTAATGGATCGGGCTTGTACGTTTTTCTTTTATTATTACAATTTTAAATTTTAATTAATTTAAAGTGAAATTAAGTCCAGAAACGTTCTCTTGCAATTTTATTTTATTTTTTATAAAATTTAAACCCAAAATTTTATTTTACTAAAACTAAACTTCTTTTACTTAAATAAATAGTTTTTATTTCATTAAATCGGGAAGGGCGAGATTTGTAGTATAATAGTTCGAATCAGTTGGAAAAAATAGGGACAGTTCAAGATGGTTTCAACGGGCGTTATTCTGGAGATTTTTATTTATTTTTTTCAGGGACAGTGCATGGCTAGTTGATAAGACGACCAGGCTGCTGAAAACATCCATTACTTCTTGTATTTATAGGCCTTCATGAACTGAATTGATTGTCAAAAAAATAAAAGAATAAAGAGTCTTCCAGCAATTTCTTTGTTTTGTTGAGTCAACTGTCAAGTTTTATACAGTTGTCATACTTCTACCAGCATGCTTTGTATTTCTATCAACACAGTTCTATCAATTCGATTGCCTTTTGTTTAATGTTAGTTTGTATTCAATTCACTGTTTAAATTTGTTATTTCATTTAGCAACAATGGAATTTATCTTTCAAATCAATCTACCTTCCTGCCGAGATTTTTTTTTTCCAGCACTCTATATTTCTTGCGAGATTTACTTTTCAACATGTTTTCTTTTCTGTACGAATTATCTTTCTAGCCAAGCTATCATTTGCTGGGCTTTCTTATTTCTGCCAAATGTAAATGTTTCTCGTCATAAAATCTCTCTCCCCTGCGTTTCTCTTTACGTTAAATGTCATAAATAATCTTTTAAGTGATAACCCGGGAAAGCCATTTTCTTTGTTACGCCCAGCAGCCGGGGATAGAAAAGTTAGCAGAAAACATAATAGAAAGGATGAGCCCCAATTATAGGGGTGTTTGGTTAGTAGAATTTAAAGTTCTCTAAACTTATTCAAGTTAACTTATTTATGTATTTTTATGCATTAATATTGTAATAAAATATTATAAAAATAATATTTTAATTTTTACTTTTCTTAATACAATTCTCAACTTATAAAATTTTTTTATTACTTATTTTGAAAAAAAAATTTCCTTATAATTGTTCCTATGTTAGATCGACATAACAACTTTTCTTATTAGTTTTTTCTAAATTAATTTTTTATCAAACATACTCAAATTAATAATTTAACAAAATTCTAACTAAAACTCATTATGAAACTTAACAGCCTTTTATATAATTTTTTTAATTTTTCATAAAATACTTTTTTAACAATTTTTTTAGTAAAATTTTTCTTAGTAAAGTACTCTATCCAAACAAGTACATAATGGAAGATATTGCTGGTTGCTTCATACATGCTTCAGGTTCTTTTAACAAGTTCATGTGATCCCTGGTAAACACTTGCCGAGTATGTTAATATGTTGGAATTAAGTAATAAAATAACGAACAAACTGTTTTATAATTTAAATTATTAAAAAAAATTTTCTTTACATTATTCTCTTCAATGTAAATATAATATAAACAATGAAAATTTTTAATTCCTACTTTTAGTGCATAAGTTAATAATATATTTATTGTATATTTTATCATTAATTTATATAAAAAGTAAAATGTAATTTTAGTTTCATAAAAAATATTTCATATGGTATTAGTGTTAAAAATATAAATTTTTAATGATTTCTATATAGATTAATGAATAAAAAATACTAAATACACTTTTAATTTAAGGCATATATATATTAAAAACCCTTTAAATAATTAAATAAAATGTAATAGTATTAATTGAACAAGCTGCCAATTAATGAGTATAAGTTGTTTGAACCAGTGCAAATTCATTCATTTCATTAGGTTAAAACTCTGTTAAACTTAGAATTTTTTTTTCATGGAATAGATTTCAAATAGGAAATAGAGGTTAGATGGGGAGCTGGATTCTAAGTTCTTTGTTAGGGTTGTTTTTTGTTTTTTGTATTTTGTCCCTATTATCTGCTTCTA